GCTGAACCAAAGGCCTCAAGTTCCTAAGAATATCTATTGGCTTGACCGGGACAACTAAACAGCATCGCAACCACGATTAAGTATAGAACAAATATTCTCATGGCACAGAAATCAAACCATCATTTGCTGGTAGATGGAACGCAATCAGATTTCACAAAACCAAAACAAGTGGGGGGAGGTTCAGAGTACTAGCACTGGGGTCTTTGGCTAAGCATGAATTTCTACCAACAGTAAATTGCTATACAATGGAACGAAATTGGTAGCGTCATCGCGGTGTTTTTGGATCTCATCGATTTCCGGAGAAAAACTAAACGAAGATATGTTCTATTGGCGAGATTAACCTACTCCAAGAGCTCAACTCTAAATACTTTACTATCGTGGGATTCTACTCAATTTTGAGCAGTAGGTAACTTTCGATGATCAAAAATATAACAAGACCATCAAGGGCCAGGTGATATGTTTGGAAGAATAACTACCGACTGCTCTATACATTTCCCTGTGTGTCGGAAAGAAATGCGATGGTACGTTTCTGATCAGGCTTTTGTGTTATGCATGCAAAATTACTGACCTCCTAGCTATAATCCTTAATAAGGGAATATCCTCGACCAGTACCACTTTTTGGAATTATAACACTACGGTTTCGTTTCGAATTCAACATTCAGCAAATAGTTCACGAATGATCTTGACCGAAAACGAACGAGGACAAAAGAACGTTTTCTTAGTAACAACAGAGAACCGGTGTTGGTTGATCCAGGGTCGAGTGATTGGTTTTGATCGTTTTTCATATGGTAATCACCAAATAGAAGTGACTCACCTTCGAAGAAAACGAGGCTGTCTGTTTGTCTGCCTTGATAACGGCCAGCCACAAACAATTCATACCTCCGACAACAACTAGGTCAGATTGTGGTTGTACCGATTCGGTGCCCGGGTGTGGTTGGGCCAAACAAAACACAGACCCTTCATCCTTGTTCTCGATCTGTTCCGCCTCCTCCTCCGATTGGTCTGTTTGATTTGTGGTCACGAGGCGTACGGAAGTCAGCACCTCTTCCGTCTTCAAATCCCAAAGACGTAAAACAGTATCTCTGTAGAGTACCACAAGCTTCGGTCGATCGCTTTGGATGAACGGAAGATAGAATAGGCCGGCCGTAGCCGAAAAACCGGACCCTGATTCCGGGCAAAGGAAAGACCAATTGCCATCAAACAGGTTAGGAAAATGTTAAATAGCCCCGCCCCCTCATGATAAAGAACCAGTAGTAGATGTATGGACCCTTGTCCGGATGATGCATTGCCCAGGGGTGCATAAAGGGGTTTTGTGACGTGTGGTCATGGCAAGGCTTAAGTGCGAACGAGCTACTTCTCGTTGCAGATGAGGATTGAACGTGGCCAAATTGTTGAGTAAAAAGTGAAGACAAAACAAAAATAGCACAAGTTAGTCGATGAAAGCGCCATCGCCTCATGAATGCCAGAAAAAAATGCATACGATTTAATTGTCTTGTGAAGGTTAACAAAGAGCGCTTGACAACTCCTGTTGGGAATCCTTAGCAGTGGGTACTATTTTGTGACCTTGTCTGGATTCGAACCACCAAACTTCACGTTGAAATTCAAAACCGCTAACCCAACCCACAAAGTAGACGGCCAAACATTTCAGAAGGAACAAATCTTTTGTGAACGATGCTCAGTTCATCTATGAGCTTTACTGTAAATATTATAGCAGTATTTAAGTGACTGCGGTCATTATCACACTGCCCCGGAGTTTGCACATTCAAACCTCACCACTACCATCAAAACTGACCTCTTTCACTCTCTTGAAGGAAGTAAAACAAACAGAATTTTGTATGCATTACGATTTTCTCCGAATGACCCAGGAGCGGGGCCAGTTTCGTAATGACTCCTTATTTGCGGTGTGATTACCTCTGCCTCATTATGTGTTAATTACTGTTCGCAATTAGATGTTTTTTCCACATTTACATTAGACTACTCATGAGTAGGATTCCGTGTTTATTCCCCCTACAGTTAAATTTTCTTTTTTTTCTGGTATCCAAAGGCGCCTAACGTCTTGAAATTTATCTTTTCCGATAGTGTGTCTGACGGACTTTTATCGCTGTGATGAGGATATATGTACTCGTAGAGTTGCATTTTCCCATCGGCATAAAACGTCCTGAACGCTTGCTCGAGTAAAAATCCGCCACAGTGGTTTAGTCGCGGTCACTGGCGTGCTTTGGACCCTATGGTCCGAGGTTCGAGCCCCACCACCGCCACCCAACTTTGATGATAAACAGATTTGCTATCTTCCGGTTCAATACCATGCCTAACCTAGCGGGGCTCTTTGTGGTTCGCCACTCCAAGTCCCGGGGCTTAGGTTACCCGGTTTCCAGATCGGAGCAACAGGTCTTCGTGACTATGGGGTTTGCCCCGTCTACTGATCACCACACAAATGTGTAATTTAAAAAACTTGGGATCTAACCGCAGACCACGTATAGCTAACGCACACGATACTCCTGAAGCACACACGTTTGCGGCAAATTTGTTTGTTCTTTATCTCACTGCTGTCTTTACATGTTTCAACTGCCTATCAACACCGCATGCATGCATCACATTCCGATCAGCTTGTATTTACCAAACGTTATCTAAATTCATTGCCTTCTGTCGTTTTATTCTTAAACTAAAATGTATTGTAAACCTTTTCCATAACGTACCACAACCTCTCACAATTTTAATTCCACTACTGCGTTCAGTTGCCGGGTAGATCTTATTTGTACGATTGCTGTCACGGACTGCTACTGCCACCCTGTAATTTGGTTGCTCACCTGGATGCCAGATGCATTTACTGTTTTGTCATTACTATTTAATTTTAGAACCATGATTCACACCACTTATCGATAAACGCTGCCACTTTACTAAACTTCTTTCTGTTGTTTATATCTTGCGTATAGTTTTCGAGACTAAGTTGCCGACGAATTCCCATCTGCTTGGCGCGAAAACATAGCGCGTGCCTTAATTTACGACTAGGCCCGCGTTTTGGGGTCCACTGATGTTCGTAAGATACTTGATAAACTGTCATCATAATGCGACTACAATAAACTCCCCCTGACGGAGCAAAATACCGTAACTCGGAAAATGAGAATATGCATCCTGAGAGTCTTCTAAATAGTCGATTGCTGTATACTTTGTGACATCTATGGGCTAATTGTTGTTAGTTAACTTCGCTATCGCCCAACCCAATGCCGTACCGATCTCAATGAAACCTCTTTTTTGTTCGCAATCCCGAGTACGAGGACTCGTATTGCTTGTTACTTCTCGAGTGGTATGTTGCACCCCCGCCCCACTCGTGGCCTCCCCTCCCCGACATGGGCAGTGAAAACTAATCGAACGAGTGCAACGTTCCAACATTCCCATCAGACAAACGATTTTTTCATGTCACGCACTTAAGTGTAATGAACAACAGACGCTTGAGAAATCGAAGTTGTGACACACGTAAAAATGAAACGGTGTTGGAGTGGAAGTGAGCCAGGCCATCACGAAAATCAAGTAGGCGTGGTGTGGTGCGATTTGATTCTAGTGTGGTCTGGATCAGCCAGTTGGTGTCAGCAAAGATGACCAATACTGCGTTAGGCACCAGGTCTTGCGTCTGCTTTATACCATATGATACTGCTTGCTTCATTTTTTGCATGTGGCAAGGACCACAGCGTACGATGGAAAATGTGTAATGCATGATAAAAATAAAACCAAAACGATAGGACAGTGCAGCGGTTGCTCTAATGAGACAAAGAATGTGGCCAACGAAGCCGGAATGACTATGGCATCATGGGGAATAGATACGATCGGATATGGAAGACCATTCCAACTAGAGGTGAAATCGAACACTTACCCGGATGATGCATTGCCCAGGGCTGCATAGCGGGGTTTTGTGATACGTGGTCGTGACTGAGCTAAAGTGCGAATAAGTTACTTCTGGTTGCAGAGGAGGATTGAGCGTTTGGATTTCAAGTACCCAGTCAGTACGTGGGAGAGTAGGGGACGTGTGATAAATGATAAACGACATTCGCTAAGTGCCACTTACCTACTACGTGCTGGCAGAGTGCGATTCTCGCCATGCTGCATCAGGCGTGTTCGTTTCGAACCCACCGCCTACATCTCTGTACAGTGTACGCACGACCAGCAGAGCCACGATGGCACAACTACCGATGTCATCAAAGCAACGGCTTTGGGTTCGATTTAGGTCTTTGTTCTTTTCAAAACTGGGCCACAAGGAGAATTCTCTGAATAGGTCAACACATTGTGCCCATCCCACAGCTCCTTTATTTCTTTTAATGATCTTTTGACCTAGACCGTGTGGTAAACTCACTGACATCCCCCCTCCCTCGTAAACATACCCTTCCTGTGCTAGTGACCCAAGTCTATTGAAAGTTCATCATGTACCACATTTTACGCTCGGTTTATCTGCTTGCCTGTCGACTCTTGCCTGAGTTGTTTAGACTTGGCCTTCTCCGTACTGCGTGCTCTCTTCCTGATCAACCCATGCCCATGTTGACCGCGTGGCTGTGATCGTTTGTCCCTCAAATGCGTTTCTTAGTCGGAATCAAGATCCAACACCATACTGTCATGTCCAAAATTGTTACCAGCTGGACAGCTCAGCTATTTCACACACTATCGATTGGTTTATAGTTCAGTACACAGTTACAATCGATCTCGTGTTCTACTGGCTTGGACTGTTGCTGAATACCCACCCATCGGGGTGTATCAAGCGATTCCTTAACTTGACTTGAAGTTTGTGCTGTGTGAGTCTAGACGCACCGGACGTTAATGCGGTATAGTAATAATGCAGTAGTTGGCACCATCGTATAAGTAATAGTGGCATTCGAAACACATGGCGGGACAGCGGTAATCAGCTCAAAAGTTGTCAAAATGTGCTGAACGAAAGGCGAAACATAATCACACCAAGAACTAGACGGAACTTCGCTCTTGTTGTAGCGCTAGTTTTCACCTCCCCAACACCGAATAGTTTGAGTTCACGAGTCCCATGGTCAGCAGAATCGTTTTCAAAAGAAGATACCCAAGTTTTGAGACACCACAAAGCATCAAGGTTGGTCTTACCACAATTCTACTCACAAATAATGTTACTCAACTTTCAAGAAGGCCGAAAATACCACTCACAAATTCGTGCTACATCGAGAGTTTAATCGTGAGCGGGCGTAGGAGAAGTCGGCAGCTATCGAAATCGTAAAAACGCACTGCACTTCGACTGCGTTAACCGAACTGTTTCGTGTGCAAGCTCATAGTATCAGCTACGTCTAAACATGCTGGATAGCCAATCTTGTCACAATTCGTTTCACTTGCTAGAACAAAGTCAACGGGAATCCTGCGGGAATTTCCCGGTGCACTCGATGAGGACCAAGCTTTCCTGGGGAACAAACAGTCAGATTCCATTTGGGCTTGACAGCTCATTTGCAAAGTATTTTTTTCGTTCTTACGGAAACCGAATCAATCCAAATGGATCAATGCTGTGTGTGCGTGTGACGAATCGGACCTCATGTGACAACAAGAATTACCAATCGCTGGTCAATCGGTTTAAGTCACTGTCACAAGCGTGCCGGGAGCCAAGGGTCCGAGGTTCGAACCGCATCACCGTCACTTATCCTTGGTGGTAGACAGCTTCTCTACGGTCTGGTTCAATACCACACTTAATCTAGCGGGGCCTTATGTAATTCGCCATTCGGAGGCTTAAGTTGCCGGTTTCCACGAAGGAACAGCAGGTTCTCATGACTACGGCGTTTATTCCGCTTGACGAGCATCACACACGAGTGTATAGTAAAAAAATCGTGTTACGGCTTTTCCGAGAGAATGAGTTTGGCCAATTCACTTGAAGCGGAAATAATATTTAAATGATATATCTCATCCGGTTCAGGAAGCCCCGAGAAAAAGGGGCTCAGGTTGATGAGAATGCATATAACAGCAGATCGAAAGAGGAGTCGCGGTAATATATCAACAACGGAAAACGCTTACAATTTCCATATATTGAGCCGGCCTAAATACAAAATTTCGTCATTTTTGATACTGTCTTTAGGGCGCAAAAAGTTGACAGAGCGGTATTTATTGGACTTGATATCACCCTCATAGTCATCACCAAGATCACATGAGAAAACAATGCAGAGACTGGATTCCGAGAGCATCTTTGAACTGTAAAAGTTGGTAGTGTAACTGATTACAGGGGAAAATCCGAACAATATAGCTGACATTTGCCGCACATCACTTTTTCCCCACAGTCTGCCTATACAGTCACATTGTTACTCCAGTATCAATGCATTATGGCATTTGTTTAACACAGCTGGTTTGTACTGTATTCTTCCGCGCGAAAACTTTCACTGTTCGCTTTCGTTCCGCTTGCACGTTGCGCCGCTCATTGGTCTTGACCACCGTGTCTCGACACAGATTTAAGTTAAAGCGGACCGGTACATCATCTGTGCCACTCTACTGGAATGCACATCTGTTGCAACCACAAGTTTTCTAGTTTAAGTGGTCGTAACAAGATTGCTTGTGAGCTACGGGATTCGTCCCGACTGGTCGTGGTTGAGAACCACCAACTTCGCGAATAGTTGAACACTTGATGTTTCATATTAAATTCTAAATATGTCCAAAAGGAGTGCAATTTTATTTTTTTTTAACTGGACTTATTACAGTACATAACACATAAACAACGTGCAAATAACTGAAAATCCTATAACACATACATTTGTAGCATCTCTAGAAATTAACCAATTAATTATTATTATAGTATTATCGTTGCTATTGCCTCCAAGTTATCGAATCATATTATACACATAAATGAAATCCATGAAGGGAAGAACAACTAAATATCGCCACGAAAAATGAACTATATTTGCCGATGCCGCAACTTTGAGGTTCTTACGAAAATAGCTAAATCCGGTTCAAACAGATCGATTTCTGAAATCTCGAATCCTGAAACATAAACTTGAAGAGGTCCCACTGGGAAGTAGGTCGCGGACTGGTGACAGGGAAAGCAGTGTAACACCGCAGTTAACACACAGTCGTGTGTGTACAGTATATGCTGGATAACACTACACTACAAGAAGTCTGATGTGGTGAGCAAATCATATCGGTCTGTTGTGTGACGGCCTCGGCAAATTGCGATTCAGTGTAAGTAGGAGTTGCGTTCATAGCTCACAGGACCTTTTCCTTCACGGTGTGTGTATTTCCGCTCTCCTTCAGATTTTTCAGGTAACCCTCTCCAGAGAGAAACTGTCCATCGACGGTTCCGGCCCAATCCGAGAATCGGCCTACGTTCAACTACCTCGAGCACCCGTCTGGACATGCTGCTCCACACTCAAGCCCTTGGGGGAATTAGACCGCAGTAGTGGAGTTCATTAGACACGCAAACTGCATTGTGATAAGTTGATGATCCTGACCACTTAACTTCCCTCGTCTAAACTGGAGCAACAGAGCTGTCGGCTGGACAGCTGTGACGCGTGCACTGGCTACAGTGAAAACCAATAGCATGATTTTGTTGCGGTAACAATTTTTTTTCACCGAAAAAGCAATTAGATTCCCCTCCTCCGCAGCACTACGCATATCCAGATTTCGATGTGCATTCCCAGTCAACTGAAGAAGGGGTGCGAATAGCAAGTAGAATTTAGTTGACAGGTCACCTAATTTCAGCCGTAACATTCAACATCAGATCTCATCTCGTATTCTCTAACCTAGTAATCAAAAATATCATCGGTAGGACTAGTCTCAACCTGAGTTTATTCAGCACGTAGTGTGTGTGCATTCTTATGGGGTGACAGACTTGCTAATAAACCGAATAAAACAGAAACTGACAGCCGGAATAGAGATCAGGCAGTCCAATGATAATGCCTTGAAAACAAAGGATGACGACGTCTCACCTGACTCGTTCCGGTATGGGGTGAAAAAGGAATGTTGACATGGAATGCAACTCGATTTACCAAGTTAACGACAATTTCGAAAGACTTACCAGCAAGATATTTCACCTTCGGTGCAGTCACCTGGGAGGTACGTGGATTCGGAGGGACCACAGACCATACGGCTACCAGGCCATCTTCATCACCTGCAGTCAAAACTGCCGGTCTGGGCGATGTACATATACTAGTGACCTCTTTTTTCTGTCCAGCACTGGGTACGGGTTGCCACCAACGTAACCAGAGCAAATCACCAACGGTCTCGGACATGAGTAAGGCCCATTGAGTAGTGCTGGAGGATGAAATCTCAGTGGGTTTCAGCCAGACACGAATACCACCGGCCATATCACCAGTCGCTAGATAGGCTCCATCGGGACTGAATGCCACTTGGGTAACGGAGTCCTGATGACCTGGAAAGTCATAAGAAATGTTATACAGAGATTTTTGGTGGTGTTTTGTCGTCTTTGCAAAACCGTTGAGATGGCTAGTACACACACCTGAAAGACTAAGATTTACGCATCTGCGGTTTTCTCTTCTTACCTCTTCTTTTTCTCCAAGTTTCCTGGTAGATCCATTCAAGTAGGACATGATCATCAAATCACGAACCAGAAGCACCTTCAGCCTAGGCTGGTGACCAGCATCAGGACAGGTTCAGTTTCCAATCAGTCCTGTACAATTGAGGACAATCCGAACATGGTTACATAACCATGGCATACTTATCAGAACCAGCAAGGTTCAGATATCAAGTAGTGACAGCCTATTGATCAGGCAGATCAATCACAAAAGCTAGGCTACTGTTAATCTTTTTCTTCTAACGTAAGGACCCTTCTTCTCTATCGGGCACAATCAAGTGTACCGTCGAGATTTAGCACGTATCGCCATTATTTGACGATAGCGATCTTCTAGAGGAAGTTCCTTCACTATATATAGCAACTTGGACACTTCCTGAATTAGGTGCTTTTATCGTGCTTTTAATGAGCTCGAAAAGACAGCACCGACAGAATTCCCCACGGTGAGCTATGTATCGCACGCTTTCCTTGCATTGATCAGATCTGCTTTCAGGTTTCCGCTGTTGCTAAAATAACAGTCTAGGCAAAGCCAAACTTACTTTCAACATTTAAGAAGTTTTAAAATATATCTTTTCTACAATCCCAATCCTTGGTTCTGTTTCTTTTTGGGACGGATATCCGGAACGAACGCGAGCAAACATTAGTGACAGGTTCTGACGAACATCAGTAACCGCCTAGTCACTAAAAGCTTGTAACAGGGCTGAACCGAATTTCCAATACAAGTTAGTTCAGGTGTCGTTTTCAGTGATAGTCTATCAGCTCATGGTTGGTTTTTTCTCAAAACTGATGGACGTCAATGATCTCATCGGAACCATTTGAGAGAAGGTGGATTCTGAAAACTTACTTGTGTATTTCATAGAAATTATTTTTTCTAAACACAACCAGTGCGGAACGGCCGGTACCGACGATGTGCGTTCAAAGGTGGAGGGCTATTATGGTGGTCAAGTGTTGGGTTCCTGGATTTACCAGGTTGCATTGTCCATAAGATAATAATACAATATACAATAATACAGTAATAATACAATAATACAATAATATAGGTTGGATTTTTTTCATCTGTATTTAATCTTTAGTTCTTTATATTTGCTGTCCATGGTCAGTGACCAAACAAGTTAACACAAAACCACAGGAATAAGAATTACTGATAATGCAAAAATGTGATAAGGAGAAATAAGACGTACCTTCTGTTTTGAACACGATCTGTTTTGTCTCCACGTTCCAAACAATAGCCACATGGTCCTGTCCACCCGAAACCAACAGGGTGCCGGTCGGATCGAACGCCAAACAGAACACACTTTCTGCAAGGGAAATTAACCCACAACCACGACAAATTAATCCATGATGAGAATTTCACACAAACGCTAAGGAGCATGGAGCATCCAAAAACGCACTTATGTGTTAACTTGTCTGCTATAGATATGCTCGTACCATGGTTCGTTAACGTACACAATCTGAGCTCGGACCAGACATTGTTCAAGCCTTAAAGCAATCTAATGCATCAATTTTCTCATATAGAATGACTCGACGGATAAGGCTTGCGGTGGGACTAAATCAGGGATTCCATCATAGCTCGTTCAATTGGAGTTTGATCATTGGTAGACCTTGTTCAAATCCATACTGGTCGGTAGAACTGGTCGTTTATCATTCACGTGCATCCAACTTTGAACGAACTGCTGCTTTCTCGAAATGAAACTCTCGTTTTAGAAGAAAATTGTGCGCAGATGTTCAACGGGAAAAAAACTGGAACCCAAGTAGCCTCTGGACAAACCAGAAAGATTATTATCCAGTTCCCGTCCAGTAAATCGGAGTCCAGTCGTTACGACCCTGTGTAAACTGACGATTTTACACCAAACGGTATATTCTCAAAACAAGTGACGAGGCCGGTACAATCCGACGCTCTCTGGACAATCTGCCTATTCCTGAATTATTAAGAAATCCAGTAGTACGGTGAATTTTTATCAAGGTCTTACGCCAACCGCTCGTCAGGTTTTTTCTTCAAAACTATGAATACATTGGCCATGAAGGAAAACTCCATTCGCACTCACCTGTATACAATCAAAACTAAGCATACCGTATCGCCATCGGGCACTAGCTTCACGAAGAAAAACGGATTTTGTAGATCACTTATTTCCCCGAAAATGCCCTTTGCGTTGTCTTTATTCTGCGCCAAAACACACACACCATCCATCAAGGTAAAGGATACCTGACAGGAACAGCGAATTTGAGCTGGCAGACTGTTGTCTCTTGGGTCATATACCATCTCATTGATCTCCTCCAGCAGGATAACTCCTACAAGCCGATGCAAGCATCAGCACACAACCCTGAAAATCATTCAACAAGACGGTCGAACCGGACAGAGCAACCGAGGTCTCAACACTTAGGTCAGACGGCATAAGGAGACAGCTACTCGCTCCTAGGCGAACATCCTTCGACTGATCGAACGACCATAAAACAACTCTGCCAAATAACAGGGATATATGGGTCCTTGGATAGCATCTACACCCCTTTTAAGGAGCCCCTGGCAACCAGACACCAACACACCGATGATGGGTTGACCCCATGGTCTTTTGAGGATAGAGGTTCAGTCTGATATTAGAGTTGACAAAACTTCAGCAATCGGGATGAAGATGCCAGGTTCCAGTTAAATTTGATGAGTCGGTCATCCTAACGATTTCCAAGAAAAGCCATCGATTATCTTGCAAAAATCACAGAGGACTAAGCTTGATAAACGGAGTCTCTAAGTTTCTCGCAGGCACCAAACTCTGTCGATCGTCTGTCGTATGTGAACAAAGCACTGACCAATTTCAGGCCTGGCTGGGGACAGATCGACTATATTTTCGTTGGTCACCTATGCTGTTTTTTATGTCTATCACACCGTTGCAGCATACGTCTGTCTATGGAGGGGCAAGTATACGCTGCAGTAGTTCGATGCAAAAGCTTGACCGAAACGGGAACCGTATAAAGATAGACTATCGATGTGCGAATACCGCAATCAAAGCTGCATTGCACGAATCCAGTTAGGTAACCTGTGACAAGCAACATTGAGAGTAAATGCGTAGTTTTATGTAATTATAGTCGCTCACCGAGGCAATTTCTCGACCTTCAAAAATCACATTGGCAGGAGCATGTGTTGAAATTGAAATCGAATAATTGATAGAATTACCGTTGTGACAATGACCAACACATGCTTTTTTGATGATGCTAGCCATTTTCAACTCCTCTGTTTGCGCAGCTGAGGATAAAAGGTTGCACCACCACCCAGGGGACCCCAAACCCACTGTCGCCACTACTTATCCACTGGCAGGATGCTAACACTGCAAGAGATAAAAACATGGTGGTGTGTATGTTGGCATTTCGTAGAGTTGTTGACTGTGGTACTTGATCCAATTATTTGGAGTGATAGATGGACTGAGCTATCACCAGGAGCCTGTGAAAAAAATCAGGCATTACTTATCCAAAAGATCGAAAATCACCGATTCGCAGTTGTAAGAAGCTAATTTTGCATTTGAATTTCTCCGGAAAAGGGCATAGACCATTTCTTGATAGACCTACTACCTACCACTGCTCATAGTTGGCGCGGGAAGATAAGTTGATTCATAGCCAGAAGCAGAAGTTTGTATCCAATCGGACAGGTGGTGGTGGCCAAGCGGTTAGGTTCCCAATTGGTAGCCCGGAAGTCCCGGGTTCGAACCGCTCCACCGCCGCCTGTCTTCCCTATTTCTATATTTCCCCAGGCAGCCTGTGTGTTGCTGTAGCCCCCTTCTTGAATGTTAACTGTACATTTGTATATTCAATAAGTAAAAAAGTAGAAAGACATTTACATATTTTTGTACAAACATAAATGACCATCGAGAAGTCAAGTCTCAGGTTTACGAGCAAAGCTTCGGGTCTATGGATTACTCGGTAGGAGTAGCATCTCTGACGCGGAGGGCTGTCGGCCCCTTTGGGGCATCCTCCGTTCTTGGGTCTCCACCAGGTAAACAGCTCTCACCTGTGGCTCCAAAGGGCTACCTGGATGCAACAGCAGCCACACGCCGACAAACCACTCCAAGGGCGGGTCAAACCAGGTTGAGGGTAACCGGGAGCTCAATTCCCAGCGAGGCGGTGTCTAACGTATGAATACGGTACTAGAGCGCTGGGCGGACGAAGTCGCTTATACGACTCAATGGTCAAGGCAATGGCTCCATACTCACCAGGGATGCATGGACCCCTGTTCAGTTCGAAAATGTCAATGGCGTATAAGTCTACCCCCCCCCCCCCGATAGGGTCGCAGGTAGTTGTCGTGCATTTAGCCATTGGATGTGCAAAGACAAGAGATGCCATCTCGACCCGAAACCGGGTGACGCTGGGTACGTTTCTTGTACCTACTTCCCAAGAAGAATATTCACTTAAACTATCCTGTCAATCATGCTACGCCGCTGCCGGGGAGCGACGCACCTTGTGCTCCTCCAATAGCTCGGGCAATAAGTATGCACAACAGACACTTTAAACTATGCAAACCTTATTACATTAGATGATGGAACGTAAAAACACTCTTAGATGCCATGAGTCAAGCGCTACCGATAAGTGCTCTGCATGACTATCAGCTGGATATTACATGCCTATCCGAAGTCAGATTAGCGGGATCCGGCTTGAGAGGTGTAAAAATCCTTAGCATTGATAGTCAGCCTCTGCTGAAGAAGCCTTTCTCACTGCCTTCACGTGGCGAGAGAGGACGAAAATCTAACATTATACTACGATTTGTTTGGCATACAGTCTGGCTTCAACCGGCTTATCCCATGCTAGGAGCCAGCCGACATAAAGTAAAGTAAATTAAGTACGTGTTTCAAGCACAACAAAGAAAACAGCTGAAATGCTAGTTATTTAATGCACTTCTTGCATCCGCCAACATATGGCTACGACTTCCTTAGCTGCTGATTCACAGTCCACATCCAAGACTAACCAGAGAAGTGAAGATCGAAACTACTGAGTTTGAAAACAAATTCATTCTCAGAGATAGACAATGCCCATCCACGAATTCGTATCTGAGTGCTAGGCAGCTCTGAGGTTGCCCGGTTCACCCCCAGGCCCGATTTATTGAGACGTTATGTAATCCGCCACACCAAATATCAAAATCATGGTTCATCATCATCATCGTACAGCGCAATACAGTGAGGTAAACCTCACTGATTGTTGCCAAACTCGCATAGCATACAAAGCTAATGGTAATACGTGAAGTGCACAGGAATTGGATCTATTGTGAGGGAGGGAGAAGAAGGCGATCCTTTATGGTCAACACGGCATATAATCTGACTGTTCGCACACAACTCTTTAAGCATTCGCCTAATAAGAAATGACAAGAACGCCACTGCTATCGGTTCGCTGCCACATCCTCAATGTCTCCAAACAACAGGTTGCAGTCTCTCGGAACCCAACGTAGAGGGCACGAGACAATTACTCCGCCAAATCGCTCAGTGCGTTTCTTCATACCTCCTTTCCACGTCATCTGTTGACCTCCATGGGGTTTCCAACAGCCTGGAGTTGCCACAGCGAAAAGATCTACAAGCAGCGTTCGCTGCGGGACGCACTGTTCGTCTAATCTGATCCCACTGCTAATCCACATCATCACGTTGAAGCGTGATTAGCTTACGCACTAGCTCTGACTCACTGCGTGCACCAACGACTGGGACACAGCCGATGATGAGGAATCCGAGTTTGCTGGTTTTGTCGCCGGCCAGTCAGTAGGAGGGTGAACTGCATCAAAACTAATGCGTCGTCAGACTTAACGCAGGTGATCCAATATAACCTGCAATTTTGCACTGAGCCAGTCAAACGGTAGCTTACTGCTATATGGTCGATCTGAGTTAGCGTACCGGTTGAACTGGGTCATGGTTGCAGGTTTCCTCCAATTAACGTGGGCATGATAACAGGAAGTCGCACACGCGCTCACTCTGCGTACTCGCAATGCAAACACGCACTCATCATCCCAACCAACATTGGCGGACTGTACTGCAACATTGATTATTTACACTAAGATCTCCATTATCCTTCTCCCTTCCCTTTTTGACCGAAACGCAATTCTCTTCTTCGTCTGACACTAGCCGCCCTCAAGTACTCAATTACACTTTCCACCATCGTTGCTAGCCAACGCTGGTGTCTACACATTCGGTGTGTGCTTTGCACCTTCAAAGTGCAAAGTGATGCTGCAGGACTGGGTGTCGACTACTCCCACTCTGAAACTAAATGGCCAGGAATTAATTATAGTGGATCACTTTATTACTTAGTTGCGTGACCAATGACGGAGGCGCAGCAAAGATATAGCCACTCGCATTTCCAAGGCTGAAGCAGCATACGCATGTCAGAAACACCTTTGGCGTAGACGCGACGTTTCACTGAAGTTGAAAGGTCGTGTACATTGTGCTACCGTTCGCTTAGCCCTGTTTTATGGATGTGATACCTTGAATTTGTGAGCAGAAGATATCCATCGACTAGAATTTTTCGATTATCGGTGTTTACGTAGTTTAGCCCCCGTGGGATGGAGCGAACGGGTAATCTGGGGGTAAGTCTATCAGGCATAAACCTGCTAGCAAATCGAATTCAGATTAGTGGACTTCGATGGCTAGGGCACGTGCTGCGTATACCCAGCTACCGTCTACCACATCGCGCCTTAATCGCTGTAGCCGCTCCGGGCGGGAGGAAACCACGTGGAGGTCAACAGATGACGTGGAGACGAGGCATGAAGAAATGTACAGAGCAATTAGCCAAAGTAGGTGTTTCGCACCTTCCAGCTTGGGGTCCGAAAGACTCCGCTACTGGTTGGTTGAAGAAATTGAAGGATATGGCAACTAACCGACAGCAGTGGCGTTCTTGTTATCTTGTTCTTATCAGGCCCGAATGCTTGAAATGGTATCTAAGTAGCGTTCGATTGTGCATGTCCATCGAGGTTCACATTCTCCCCCCCCCCTCAACTTTTACCAATAACTTTCTATGCATTTCGAGTTTGGCAGCGATCAATGAAGTTCGCTGTAGGACGATGCACTTTTATCCACTAATCAGTCGCCGCCTCCAGCATCCCAAATCTTGAGTTTTTCAATCGTGAATTTCAGCTGATGTGCCTGAAGTTTCGATTTCCTTCTTGTGTTCCTTCAATAGCAGCAGTTCGTTTGTCTGATTTTATTTTTAACAGTGAACATTCTTTTGCAACCGACCCCATCTTGAGAGATTGTAAAGCTTACAATCAGGATTGACTGACACATTCATCTGCTACTTTATTTTTGGGGCGCGAAGCCGAAAATTTGATCAACAACCAGAACCAATTAGCTGACCTCCCCGCACGTGTCCCTGATCGAGCTGGCGATCGTGCCTACACACACGACCTTATTCTCAATTCGGCCTCTTCTTCCTTCTCAGATATTTGTAATCTCTGCTCCTGGTTCATCGGAAAACTGCTTTGTTTAGGCTTACCAGCCTCGATCTGCCCCCCAACTCAAGGCATTTTCTGGTGCTGCAACTCAGTCAACTGGGACGGTTTCCATGATTTCCTAGCTTCTTAGCCCTGGAACGACTGACGTTACCCTTCGTACCTTTCCAAAGTCATCGGTATTGTTCATCAAAGTATGTATCTTTTTATTCCTCACGGTAAACCAAAAAGAACCCGAGTGGTTTAACTATGCACGTGATCATGTTGTACGCCTAAAACGCTCGGCCGTCCGTCGCGCGCCCACTTCCAAATTCCCCCATAGGTTCATAAAAGCTGGGAACATATGCTCAACAACCATTCAGAGAATCAAACAACGCTTTGCTCGCTGTGAAGCCGAAAACTTGGTCTCGTCCACAACCGGTAACCGAACATTTTGGTCCCTTGCCAA